ACCTGCTTGAAGATACAACAATGCTAAGATTAAGAGAAGGTCGATCCTGGTCGATTCTACAACATGTACCAGCTTGAAGTTGATTCAAGCGATCAAGAGGTGGGAATTTGGACCTTGAAAAAGGACGTCGTGGGGGGCCGTCTTGGGGAAGAGACTGCCTGCAGAACCTACCCACTTATTTTCGAACGTCTAACATCAACTGAGGGTGGTGGTTGATAATGATAAGGAAGCATTCTATGACCTCTAACGATCCCTCAATCTTTGGCATGATTCTCAGTTAATAAGGTAATTCCGTAAGCTCTCAGTTGGACAGAATAGGGCATTAGGTTCGATGCTTGTCTGTGAGGTCGAAACTGAAATCTTCGAATCACTATTATTAGCATTCCTAAGAGACATAGCCTTTCAGCCATATACTTAGCAGCTGGGCCCATGCGGTTTAGCTTTTTAATTAGAGGTATAAAAGAGAGGCTGTCGAAAATGCTCAATTTCGTCGACCTGACACTCCAGTTTGAGCACTTAAATATTAGTGGAAAGAGAAACTTGAAGAAAACTAAGAAGACTATCGTAGGGCAAGGAATTCTCTGCAAAACGGTATAAAACTCAATGGCAAAACTTTTCTTCTTCAGCGCGATATTTCGAGTGGGAAAAACGTCATTACTTATGGGCTGACCCAATACGTCGTCTCTAGAAGTGGGTCGGATCTGGCTCTATGAGCAAGTTTATCAAATGATTGAACCGGTCGAAGAATCAAAAGGTTTTGCGTAGATGAACATTTGCCTACAAAACACGCGCTCTTTACTCGCGGCGAAGGCCTATCTATGGAACCAGGAGTAGACATCTTTTTAGGCATTACCTCTATGTGCTCAAAATCGCCTTCTCAGCTTTTTTCTATGTTAGAAGAAAAATTGGAAGATCTGTTCAGTTTTGAAGTGTTGTTTTCAGCGCTACTCTACACTACTCAAGCTCCACTGCCTGCCGAACCATCATTTCCTCGTCCAGATGAATTGGCCGCTCTAGAACTCGGCTTCAACGATACCCGCTGCGTAACGTGTCTGAACGGTACATCAAGATTTTCTACTACGAGACTGCCTCCGAACGTTGTTCCCACATTTCCTGCTCAATCCGTTACCTATGCACCATTTCCAACACTTGTTTCACTTATAACTGGAGAAACGTCCTTCCCCGAGATAACTGATGGCACCACGGTGCCGGGCAGTACCTTCTATCGGATCCACTCCGCCGCAACAAACGCAGACTTCAACTTTGACATCACGAATTACGACGGTAACGATCACTACAGCAAGGGTGACAACACATCCTTCTGAAACAGCCGTTTCAAGCAGCACATCGGATCAATTCGTGATTGGCCAATTCGATGGTGTGTCGAGTCAAGGGCCACAGACGACAGGTGAGTCCGAGTTTGTGTGAAGCTTTTCATGTTTAATTTTGGTGAAGAACTTCATTCATCCCATCTTTGCCAAATACTTTGCTGGCACTAAGCTTCTTCCCGCTCCCCTAAAGTTCTGACATTTCAGTAGCCCTACTGGATTGCCTTTGTCAAGCATGATTATCGCGACCTTTAATTCTGTCAGGCTACGCCGTAACAGAAATTCGTGGGACGAGTAGAATGAGTTTCAGTACCCTGGGCACCTCGCATAATTGATAGTGAGGCGCAAGCGAACAGTGATTCACCTCGTGAGTTTGATGGTAGAGTTGGAGCAGGTTTCGATTCGTTGAGATAAAGCAGATATGGGGTTTTATTCTGCAGTATTAAAAAGTACCAAATTCACTGTTTTCTCTGAGTAACATTCCGTCCAAAACTGTTCGTCATCATCAAAGGGAGTCCGTAGCTGATATCGTCGCACAATCGGGTCCGTATCTGGAGGCGTGGAAAGGGCCCACTTCAACTTCATTTTCGTCAAATAGCAATAAGTTCAACAAGAAAAGCAATCAGTGGTAGAAAACGCCGGAGATGGGCTCAATCCATGCCTCCCGACACCGCCACGTCTGATTTCGACGATATCAAATGTAGGCAACATAAGAGCCGAGTGTCACCCCAACGCCGCTCGCCACTTTTCGTTCACATTCCCAAGATTGTTCAGAATGTGGTTTCCACTCTGATGTGCTTCAGTGCTTAGGGTCATTGAATATATAATAGGTTGGAAGGGAAGTCCTGTCAGTGTTTTTTGAAAAGCTTACAGTTTTTGATTCTCGATGCTCGTACATGACGTAACATGCTATGCTTGTAGGACACTCTGGGAGCTTTCCTGCAAGAGGCGTGTGAGGGCGCCTGCTCCTCCCTGGGTTTAATTACGATGTCATTTTCACAGGGGTATCTTCGAGTCATCATCTTCTATCAGTGGCCCCGCGGCACTGGAGCCACGGCAGCTGTCCGTAACATCAACAGTGCATTGAGAAAGGAGACCACTATCGTCAGGATCGTCCACTTTTAGTTCGCTCGCTTGGCGAAAAGAAACTCGATCCTCGAAGGCAAACCTTGGTTGGGACGGCCCCAAGAAGTATAAGACTCCACCATTCTCGAAGCAGACAGGGGGATCCAGAGGCTACTACCCGCAGTCTTGCGACAAGACTCGGATGTACCTAACTGACAGTCGTCCACCGCCTGTAAGCCTTTGACTACCAAGAAGTACTGGCTTGGTGGATCATTCATACCTTGACCGATGGCACGCTGTGCACCCGGGTACCCCTTAGTCAGTCTCCCTTCTCTGCCCTCGTCAGAAGGAGTTTCCGGGAGACTGCTTAGTGGGGATGAGAGATGGGTCCTCTATGATTTCAGTCCACACAGTACCGTTTGTCTCTCTCAAGGAGAAGATCCATTCTAGCAGTCCAAACCGGGCATGTATTCCGAAAAGGTTCTCCCGTGCTCTCCTGGGACGCGAGGAGGTGCTGCAGAACGAGCTGCTCCGTAAGAACAGACGGATCACCGCCAACCATTTGTGTCGCTCAGCTGCCGAAACGAGTGAAAATTGTTGGCGAAAAATGACCGAGACTAGCTTCGGGTTCGTAGTACACGAGGACTCCATACCTGCTATGAAAGACGCTACCATATAACCGAGGAGCAAGGACTTGGAAGACCAGTCCCCGCTCATAATATTCTCCTGACGTAGTCCCCTACGACTGCTACCTGCTCCACCTCCTTAAGGCTTTCTTAGCTAAGAAAACTTTCAGCAATTTTGATGACATCAGTCGAGAGGGCGCTTACTCTACTCGCAGCCTTCTCAGTTCTGGGAGGAGGGGAATGCTTACCTGTCCATTGGGTGGAGCACTGTAGTGGCTAACTATGACGAGTATATTGTTGACTAATTCCCACTTTATATTGAGTTAGAAAATAAAAAGGGAAAAAAGTCACAACAGTGACAAGACTTCCCTTCCAACCTATATATGCCCATGTCAAGAGCGATCAAGTGGCAGTCAGCTGAAAACCATCTCACTGAGTCATGAGATCCATACTGCGACGACGCGATGTCGTAGTGCCATCATGCGCTCGCCATTTGCAAAGGGACCTAGTTGGTTTAAGTTGGAAGCGATACAGTAAGTCGAGTCAAGCAGTCAGGAAGTGCAACCTTAACCCGCACATCAGCGCAACGCAACTCTCCCCATATGCACTGTGTGAATGACGGTTCAAGTATTATTTGAGTATTACTAGGAGGCCAATTTCAAAAGCAATTGGAATGTTCGTTTCCCTCCGCGTAGACGTTAACTTTCCGGTAGGGGGGAGGTCTGTGTCGGTCAATCTCGCACCAACTCTGACGTCCATCTGTACAGCCCGAAGTGGCGACTCTATAACCAGAACCCTACCGCATTTGGGATTGGAGGTACAACATTTGCGCTGACGAAGCTACCTTGTTTGCGCGCTGCCTCCCCCCCCCCTCCCCGAGTTAGATAGCTCACCAGATGCTACCACTATGACTCGCAACATCCAAAAAACTTCTGGAAAAGACATGAGTAATGGGAAAAGGGTGAAATCATCATATACACTCATGATTAGGATTTTTAGTGACGTCATCAACCCCAGGTCCGACGCCAATTGTGACAACAGGTCCAGCTATGCAGTCAACTATGGTCGGAATCATCACAGGGCAAAACGAAGACTTACCTACTCCTCCCACCATACAAGAAGAATTTCCGACTCCATCCAGTTTCCCTACCACTACAGGAGGTGGTGGCGGTTCCTGGGAAACTGTGGAAACATTGTTTCCAACGCCGCCATCAACATTACCAGAAAGGTAGCTTATTATCAGTAAAGTCTGTATATATCATTTCGATTTTATTCTTTGTTCCAGGAAGCCGTCGATACTGGTCCTTCGGAATGAAGGTCCCGTCGGATATTGATCTGAACGCTTTCGATCTTACAAGTAACTTGACATCTGCTCTGAGCGAAGTGGTTCGGGAATCTGTACGAAGAGTAAGGAGAACAAAGCGATCGCTTCCGGATGACCATCAAAACAGTCTTGTCAAGGTATGTGGACGTTTATTCGCCTTTTTTGATACCAATATAGAGTGGAGAGAACCTTTGAACTCCTGTACCTCTTTTGAAGGCGGATTCTACTCTAGTCCTGTGAGAGGAGTCAACTCCCTCCTTCTCATCTGGGTTTCATGCGTTTCAACTTTTCTTGACACAATGTGGATAACCAGGGGAGCATTAAGTAGTGAGGGATTTCGGTTTGCGTCCGTACCGGCACGCTTCTAAAAGGTGGCGCTTGATACGCTACCCCTTCCCCCTAGTTCCCTCATGCACTGAGCTAGTGCGGGTGACATACTTCTGCACCCTGAAACAGGGGAACAGTCGCGAGGCGAACTGCGACCCCTCTCCAAATCTCACCTACCACTTTCTTTTAGAGTTTTCCCATTTTTTTAGGCGAGACAGCAGTTTTTTCCAAAGATTCCCAGTAATTTTTTGTAGTTGTGGAATACTTTTGAAAAAAAAAATAATTATGAATACTTTTCCTTTTCTCAAAATTCTGGGCATGTGGAGCGGGAGGGGGTGTATATAGGGGCGTAGAACAAGACAACAACGACTGAATAAACGGCTTAAACCCTACAATAGGGAGAAAATTTTCTAAACAACCGTAGAGGCAAATACAACCCATCCTCCCCAGCACCAAAAATAGCAACTCCGCTCCCGTTGAAAAGAATTCCCAATGATGATGTGCCCCTGAGAGGAAATGCTTCCAAGTTGCGAAGGCTAAGGCAGTCGGCACGATGATTTGGTAAGCTCGTCCTGAAAATACTAGTAGGGCGCTATATAGTAGGGGCGAAATGCAAAAACGAAGTGGGAAACGTCAAAAATCCTGCGAGCTAAAGAGGCCTCCGTTATTAATGTGTTAGAAAATCAAATTTTGAACGAGTTTGCCCTTACATCCTTGCCAATAACGCGTTCTTAACCGAAGGTACGGCTGCACATGCGTACTCATATATCCATGCAGCATCACGGCCGCTTCATACCAATCCCTTCGCTTCATAATTTGCTTCAGCAAATGAATCGATTAGAGCGTCAGGAACGGTCGTCCATTTGTGGGCGGGCGGGCGTGGCGGGCGTTTGGGTCGGAATGTTGTGGCTTGATAGGGCACCTCCCTTGGAAAAGGCATTATGCAGCGCCTGCTCAGGGTCGCGGAATTCCGTCCTGCCAGGCGTATTAATCCTACTCGTCTTGGGGATTTATCGTGCCAACTGCCTTTAAATGATAAAAGCTGGTTCCTCTCTGCAATAACTCATTCTTGAACCCGGCCTCTCAATTATCATTTTTATCCAACCGTCAGGTGTTCCGTACCTCCATGAAGGACAAAACGGCATCTGAAGGGGAGGTGGAAAACAATTTTACCATGTCTGGACTGAATTGCATTCAATCGCCACTGACATCTTGAAAGGATATACTAGTACAGTATACGTGATACAAAAGTTGACCAACGCTGAAGGTTTTGCACTTTTTGCTGCCCCAAAATTGTTGATCCAAAATAAGTTATGCTTCAAAATAAGCTGATCTCCACTAGAGGCTTGGCACGTTACGCTTTTGTTGCCCTCTATTACGTCACAGTGAATGTGGACCTTGCAGGTTCATCGAATAGAGCGCGTCGGGAACGCTATGAACGTTCTCTTCTCCATCAACGAAACAGAGGTAGACTCGAATGTTGTCGAAGAAGATCTGTACACATTGGATATGAACTATTTAACACATTACTTTGGATTTCCTGTGAGTCCAGTTGTTCGGCTTAAAGCACCGGGCACGAGTGCTAGAGGCGGGCGGTTGTTGCCAGCGTCATTGGTGGAAGAGCTGCGCGAGGGCGTTTGGCCGCAGCCACTGAGCGTTTCCACCAATGACGTTGGCGACTACTGCCCATCTCCATCAATCGTGCTCACTGCCTTTAAGCCTTTTTCGGTATATAACCCGTTCTTATTCCAGGTTTTGTCCACTATATACAATGCCAGCATGACTAGGTTTCTTAACTTCGTGGTGATTGGACTGCTAGCTTTTACTTTCTCTGCTATCTTCTTTTGTCTGGTTTTCATAACGCCACTGAATAATGTTATACGATCAGTAAGTTTTACTAGTTTAGTAAAGCTATCAGTTTTCGCCTTCTTGCTGTCATAGGGAAGTTTCCCTTCAATTGAACCCTTATGCTGGGGTGCAAGCCGATCGTCCGATGGAAGCGCTGGTGGGCGTGGTGGTGACGTCGCGCGCGAGAGTGTATAGCTGTCTGGCGTTGCGTTTTGAATTCTACGGCCTGAGAGCTACTGCGCACCATAAGGTCAAAGAGGGCGATGTGGCTTTTTATCCGAAGTGCTAAATACTTCCTGTGTCTCTTTACCAAACTACAATCATATCTGAGGGCAACTAGGGGGTTGCGAGCGAGCATGAGATGCAAGTTTGGGTCAACCGCTTTGCCCATTCCCCAGCATTCTTGCTTTTTGTACTACCACT